TTGATTAAATGATACCGGCCTGTTAATGCCATTATTAACGTTTATCTTAGTGTAAGTCTAACTAAGTATGGCTGCAAACCATATTTTGCCAGTTTGCATTATTTTTTTTGCTGACTGAGATAAACATGATTTATGTGTAGTACTTAGCAAGTAAATATCACTCATTTTAAGCATAAATAATATATAACACAAGTAGCAATAATTTGCACTTTTGCAGACCACAGATTACTTGAATAATTTTATAAAATGTCTTTACGGATCTCGCTGGAGATTGTAGAGAACAATCAATTTGAATTAAATCCTTTCAGGGAAATCGGTCTATTCTATAGAATAGTATAGTCTAGTCTATAACCTAATCTATAGTCTAGCCTATAACGTTGTCTATAGTCTAGTCTCTAATCTAGTCTATAGTCTAGTCTATAGTCTAGTCTATAGTCTAGTCTATAGTCTAGTCTATAGTCTAGTCTATAGTCTAGTCTAGTCTAGTCTATAGTCTAGTCTATAGTCTAGTCTATAGTCTAGTCTATAGTCTAGTCTATAGTCTAGTCTATAGTCTAGTCTATAGTCTAGTCTATAGTCTAGTCTATAGTCTAGTCTATAGTCTAGTCTATAGTCTAGTCTATAGTCTAGTTTATAGTCTAGTCTATAGTCTAGTCTATAGTCTAGTCTATAGTCTAGTCTATAGACTAGTCTATAGTCTAGTCTATAGTCTAGTCTATAGTCCAGTCTATAGTCTAGTCTATAGTCTAGTCTATAGTCTAGTCTATAGTCTAGTCTATAGTCTAGTCTATAGTCTAGTCTATAGTCTAGTCTATAGTCTAGTCTATAGTCTAGTCTATAGTCTAGTCTATAGTCTAGTCTATAGTCTAGTCTATAGTCTAGTCTATAGTCTAGTCTATAGTCTAGTCTATAGTCTAGTCTATAGTCTAGTCTATAGTCTAGTCTATAGTCTAGTCTATAGTTTAGTCTATAGTCTAGTCTATAGTCTAGTCTATAGTCTAGTGTATAGTCTATAGTCTAGTCTATAGTCTAGTCTATAGTCTAGTCAATAGTCTAGTCTATAGTCTAGTCAATAGTCTAGTCTAGTCTATAGTCTAGTCTATAGTCTAGTCTATAGTCTAGTCTATAGTCTAGTCTATAGTCTAGTCTATAGTCTAGTCTATAGTCTAGTCTATAGTCTAGTCTATAGTCTAGTCTATAGTCTAGTCTATAGTCTAGTCTATAGTCTAGTCTATAGTCTAGTCTATAGTCTAGTCTATAGTCTAGTCTATAGTCTAGTCTATAGTCTAGTCTATAGTCTAGTCTATAGTCTAGTCTATAGTCTAGTCTATAGTCTAGTCTATAGTCTAGTCTATAGTCTAGTCTATAGTCTAGTCTATAGTCTAGTCTATAGTCTAGTCTATAGTCTAGTCTATAGTCTAGTCTATAGTCTAGTCTATAGTCTAGTCTATAGTCTAGTCTATAGTCTAGTCTATAGTCTAGTCTATAGTCTAGTCTATAGTCTAGTCTATAGTCTAGTCTATAGTCTAGTCTATAGTCTAGTCTATAGTCTAGTCTATAGTCTAGTCTATAGTCTAGTCTATAGTCTAGTCTATAGTCTAGTCTATAGTCTAGTCTATAGTCTAGTCTATAGTCTAGTCTATAGTCTAGTCTATAGTCTAGTCTATGGTCTAGTCTATAGTCTAGTCTATGGTCTAGTCTATAGTCTAGTCTATAGTCTAGTCTATAGTCTAGTCTATAGTCTAGTCTATAGTCTAGTCTATAGTCTAGTCTATAGTCTAGTCTATAGTCTAGTCTATAGTCTAGTCTATAGTCTAGTCTAGTCTAGTCTATAGTCTAGTCTATAGTCTAGTCTATAGTCTAGTCTATAGTCTAGTCTATAGTCTAGTCTATAGTCTAGTCTATAGTCTAGTCTATAGTCTAGTCTATAGTCTAGTCTATAGTTTAGTCTATAGTTTAGTCTATAGTCTAGCCTATAGTCTAGTCTATAGTCTAGTCTATAGTCTAGTCTATAGTCTAGTCTATAGTCTAGTCTATAGTCTAGTCTATAGTCTAGTCTATGGTCTAGTCTATAGTCTAGTCTATAGTCCAGACTATAGTCTTGTCTGGCAACACTGTCTGTAGGCTATTGAATTATGCTAAAATAAGTTCTATAGCTTTTGACCCTTATAATACACATTCCTCAGGAAATAAACTTAATTTTAACACAAAAACCTGTTTTGAAAACATTTCTGAAGTTTGAACCAAATTAGTTCTATAATTAACCTAAAAGCTATAACGAATGTTAACAGTATCAAAAAGTACTTAAGCTATTTAATAACTAATTTCTGGAGCTTAAAGCCTAAAACAAAAACGACTCCAAAAAACGCAAATCATTTTTCAAAAATTAAACAATTTTGTTCAAACACAGCATGATTAATGTTTCTTTTTTGTTTAAACAAAATCATTACCTATACAATTTTGCTGGTAATCTACCTATAGGTCTTAAGTTCAGCCACCTAATCATTCTTATATTTTCTTATATTTATTTATTTAAGCTAAGTAATGCAGTTTTTATTAAAGCACCGTTTGTTTAGATATTATTAAAATATTTATTAACTTTGTTTTAAGAGGAGACCTATAAAAATAAAAGTAGTTTTCGTAGTTTTAAATCAAAATTAACATTTTGTGTAACAAATTTAGGTCAACTGCATGAGAATTTTTACACTGACTTTCATAGTTATAAACGTAATAAAAAACAGATGAATTTCTCTAATTATACGGTGGGTAATTTGTGTTACTTGTAGTTTATTTCTTTATTTATAAATTAGGTGTAAGAAAAGAATTTTTAATAATTTTTATGGAGTAATTAAAAACTTATTATTAGATTTAAAGAAAAGAGAGCAGCAGGTGATTTTTCAAAGACAAAAGTAGACAATTTTCCTGAACTTTCGTAAGAACCGTTAAGTTTTTCATAAAATGGATTTGTGCTAGAAATTGAGCTAATAACACATTATCGATATAGTCTAGTCTATAATCTAGTCGATAGTCTACTCTGAAGTATAGTTTATAGTCTAGGCCATAGTCTAGTCTATAGTCTAGTCTATAGTCTAGTCTATAGTCTAGTGTATAGTCTAGTCTATAATCTAGTCTATAGTCTAGTCTATTGTCTAGTCTATAGCCTAAACTACAGTCTAGTCTATATTCTATTCTATATTCTAAACTATAGCCTAAACTACATTCTATTCCATATTCTATTCTATATTCTATTCTATAGTCTAGTCTTTAGTCTAGTCTATAGTCTAGTCTATAGTCTAGTCTATAGTCTAGACTATAGTCTAGTATATAGTCTATAGTCTAGTCTATAGTCTATATTCTAGTCTATAGTCTAGTCTATAATCCAGTCTATCGTCTAGTCTATAGTCTAGTCTATAGTCCAGTCTATAGTCTAGTCTATAGTCTAGTTTATAGTCTAGTCTATAGTCTAGTCTATAGTCTAGTCTATAGTCTAGTCCATAGTCTAGTCTATAGTCTAGTCTATAGTCTAGTCTATAGTCTAGTCTATAGTCTAGTCTATAGTCTAGTCTATAGTCTAGTCTATAGTCTAGTCTATAGTCTAGTCTATAGTCTAGTCTATAGTCTAGTCTATAGTCTAGTCTATAGTCTAGTCTATAGTCTAGTCTATAGTCTAGTCTATAGTCTAGTCTATAGTCTAGTCTATAGTCTAGTCTATAGTCTAGTCTATAGTCTAGTCTATAGTCTAGTCTATAGTCTAGTCTATAGTCTAGTCTATAGTCTAGTCTATAGTCTAGTCTATAGTCTAGTCTATAGTCTAGTCTATAGTCTAGTCTATAGTCTAGTCTATAGTCTAGTCTATAGTCTAGTCTATAGTCTAGTCTATAGTCTAGTCTATAGTCTAGTCTATAGTCTAGTCTATAGTCTAGTCTATAGTCTAGTCTATAGTCTAGTCTATAGTCTAGTCTATAGTCTAGTCTATAGTCTAGTCTATAGTCTAGTCTATAGTCTAGTCTATAGTCTAGTCTATAGTCTAGTCTATAGTCTAGTCTATAGTCTAGTCTATAGTCTAGTCTATAGTCTAGTCTATAGTCTAGTCTATAGTCTAGTCTATAGTCTAGTCTATAGTCTAGTCTATAGTCTAGTCTATAGTCTAGTCTATAGTCTAGTCTATAGTCTAGTCTATAGTCTAGTCTATAGTCTAGCCTATAGTCTAGTCTATAGTCTAGTCTATAGTCTAGCCTATAGTCTAGTCTATAGTCTAGTCTATAGTCTAGTCTATAGTCTAGTCTATAGTCTAGTCTATAGTCTAGTCTATAGTTTAGTCTATAGTCTAGTCTAGTCTATAGTGTAGTCTAGTCTATAGTCTAGTCTATAGTCTAGTCTAGTTATAGTCTAGTCTATTCTAGTCTATAGTCTAGTCTATAGTCTAGTCTAGTCTAGTCTATAGTCTAGTCTATAGTCTAGTCTATAGTCTAGTCTATAGTCTAGTCTATAGTCTAGTCTATAGTCTAGTCTATAGTCTAGTCTATAGTCTAGTCTATAGTCTAGTCTATAGTCTAGTCTATAGTCTAGTCTATAGTCTAGTCTATAGTCTAGTCTAGTCTAGCCTATAGTCTAGTCTATAGTCTAGTCTATAGTCTAGTCTATAGTCTATCCTATAGTCTAGTCTATAGTCCTCATAAAAAATCTGAATTACTGTCGTCCTATATGTAAAGCAAGAATTAGTTTCTACGTTCCGTTCCGTGTTGTTTTTTATACAACAACGTAACGGCAACCTCACGGTCCAGCTAACTACTTACACTGGTTTACGTAAGCCAAAAATGAATCAACTGAATTCATCACGCTGCGAGACGTAGAAACTAACTGAACCCTAACTCTACCCTCTTTATATTCTTACAAAAAGTACATGCTACTCAACTACCCATCACTGTGTAAGTCAGAATATGTATTTTGTTAAAATTATAAAAATTAATTAATGTACAAACTTATTTCTAATAACTTACCTCAATCATTGTTGTAGTCGTTGTCGTTGCTTCCTTATTTTACAGCAAAAACACTACTACTTTTTTTCTCACATTTTGCCGCCATATTCTATTAAGCTAAATGATTTTGCTTTTTATTAAATTCTTCAAAAATTTGTAATAACAACAACATAATATTAATGCTTTAGCCCCTCTTGCACTGTCACTAAACAACACTCTCTTTCTGTCCATAACTCTCCCACTGTTTGCCGGCTTACGAAGGGCCATGGAAACAAAAAACGGCGACAATTGCATGAATATATTTGGCAAATTCTGCTTTTTTGGTTTTGCAAATTTTCTAATGCTTTTTTCACTAATTTCAAAAACACTTTTCATTAATATTTTTATATACAAATATAAATTAACATTTTCTTAATAATATTAAACAAAAATATTTTAACATAAACAATTAATTAACGCGTTAGATTAATTTAAAGGGGCACTATTAACATTAAACAACCGAACACTTTAGAAATTTGTAGAAAACTAAAGAAGAAGACAAATAACTAAAGGAACAAATGACATTAGTATTTGAGATTGTTTTTGTTGTTATTATTACTCTACCACTTAGAGAGTAAATAATAACAATAACAACAGCATCAATAGCTGCAACAAGTGATGCTTTTGTTCTATTTCTTTTGTTTTAGTTTTCTTACAATTTCTTTAATGCTCGGTTGTTTTGTGTTATTACTCCTGTTAAAATTGATCTAACGGGTTAATTAATTGTTTATATTAAAATATTTTTGTTGTACATTATTAAGAAAATGTTAATTTATTTTTATATACAAAAATATAACTAAAAAGTGTTTTTGAAAATAATGAAAAAGTGTGAGAAAATTTTCAAAACCAAAAAAATGCAATTTGCCAAATATATTAATACAATTGGTTTTTTGTTTACAGGGCCATTCGTAAGCAGACAAACTGATGGAGAGTTGTGGATAGAAAGAGAGTGTTTTTTTTAGGAGGGAGTATACATATTTTAATAAAGCATTGTTGTTGTTATTACAATTATTTGAAGAATTTAATAAGCAAAAGCATTGAGCTTAATAGTATATGGCGGCAAAATGTGAAAAAAATAATAGTGTTATTGTTGTAAAATAAGGAAGCAACGACAACAAACAACAACAAATATAATGAAAGGTAAGTAAGTAATAAGAAAAATGTATGTTTATTAATTACATTTTATTGTTTTAACAGAACTGATTTTGTTTGAACATGAAACGGTAAGAGAATTCAATATTTTTTAGTGAAGCCTTAAGTTTATAAGGCTTTTTACTTCAAAATCAGATTTTAAGCAAAACTGTTAAAGAAATATTTTAATTATAGGTATTTGAAAACTTTATTTTTACTCATTTAGACTAGACTGTAGTTCAAACTAAAAACTGGACTATAGGCTAGACAATACTACATGTATAGTAGACTATAGACTAGACTAGACTAGACTAGACTATAGACTAGACTATAGACTAGACTATAGACTAGACTGTAGACTAGACTATAGACTAGACTATAGACTAGACTATAGACTAGACTATAGACTAGACTATAGACTAGACTATAGACTAGACTATAGACTAGACTATAGACTAGACTATAGACTAGACTATAGACTAGACTATAGACTAGACTATAGACTAGGCTATAGACTAGACTATAGACTAGACTACAGACTAGACTATAGACTAGACTATAGACTAGACTACAGACTAGACTATAGACTAGACTATAGACTAGACTATAGACTAGACTATAGACTAGACTATAGACTAGACTATAGACTAGACTATAGACTAGACTATAGACTAGACTATAGACTAGACTATAGACTAGACTATAGACTAGACTATAGACTATACTATAGACTATACTATAGACTAGACTATAGACTAGACTATAGGCTAGATTATAGACTAGACTATAGACTAGACTTTAGTCTAGACTATAGACTAGACTTTAGTCTAGACTATAGACTAGACTATAAACTAGACTATAGACTAGTCAATACACTAGACTAGACTATAGACTAGACTATAGACTATAGACTATAGACTAGACTAGACTATACTCTAGACTATAGACTAGACTATAGACTAGACTAAAGACTAGACTATAGACTATACTATAGACTAGACTATAGACTAGACTATAGACTAGACTATAGACTAGACTACAGACTAGACCATAGACTAGACTATAGACTAGACTATATAGACTAGACTATAGACTAGACTATAGACTAGACTATAAACTAGACTATAGACTAGTCAATACACTAGACTAGACTATAGACTAGACTATAAACTAGAGTATAGACTAGACTATAGACTAGACTATAGACTAGACTATAGACTAGACTATAGACTAGACTATAGACTAGACTATAGACTAGACTATAGACTAGACTATAGACTAGACTATAGACTAGACTATAGACTAGACTATAGACTAGACTATAGACTAGACTATAGACTAGACTATAGACTAGACTATAGACTAGACTATAGACTAGACTATATACTAGACTATAGACTAGACTATAGACTAGACTATAGACTAAACTATAGACTAGACTATAGGGACTAGACTATAGACTAGACTATAGACTAGACTATAGACTAGACTATAGACTAGACTATAGACTAGACTATAGACTAGACTATAGACTAGACTAATAGACTAGACTATAGACTAGACTATAGACTAGACTATAGACTAGACTATAGACTAGACTATAGACTAGACTATAGACTAGACTATAGACTAGACTATAGGACTAGAGGCTATAGCTAGACTATAGACTAGACTATAGGACTAGGGACATAGACTAGACTATAGACTAGACTATCGACTAGACTATAGGGACTATAGACTAGACTATAGGACTAGACGATAGACTAGACTATAGATAGGACTATAGACTAGGACTATAGACTAGACTATAGACTAGGACTATAGACTAGACTATAGGACTAGACTATAGACTAGACTAGAGACTAGACTATAGACTAGACTATAGGCTAGACTCATAGACTAGACTATAGACTAGGACTGATAGGACTAGGACTATAGACTAGACTATAGACTAGACTAGACTAGACTGATAGACTATAGACTAGACTATAGACTAGACTATAGACTAGACTATAGACTAGACTATAGACTAGACTATAGACTAGACTATAGACTAGACTATAGACTAGACTATAGACTAGACTATAGACTAGACTATAGACTAGACTATAGACTAGACTATAGACTAGACTAGACTAGACTATAGACTAGACTATAGACTAGACTATAGACTAGACTATAGACTAGACTATAGACTAGACTAGACTAGACTAGACTATAGACTAGACTATACTCTAGACTATAGACTAGACTATAGACTAGACTAAAGACTAGACTATAGACTATACTATAGACTAGACTATAGACTAGACTATAGGCTAGACTATAGGCTAGATTATAGATTATAGACTAGACCATACACTAGACCATACACTAGACTAAGACTAGACTAGACTAGACTATAGACTAGAGTCTAGACCAGATTATAGACAAGACTATAGGTTAGTGTAAAGACTAGATTATAGATTAGACTATAGACTTGACTAAAGACTAGACTATAGACTAGACTATAGACTAGACTGTAGACTAGATTTTAGACTAGACTATAGACTAGACTATAGACTAGACTATAGACTAGACTATGGACTAGACTATAGAATAGACTATAGACTAGACTATAGACTAGACTATAGACTAGACTATAGACTAGACTATAGACTAGACTATAGACTAGACTATAGACTAGACTATAGACTAGACTATAGACTAGACTATAGACTAGACTATAGACTAGACTTAGACTAGACTATGGAGTAGACTATGGACTAGACTATAGACTAGACTATAGACTAGACTATAGACTAGACTATAGACTAGACTATAGACTAGACTATAGACTAGACTATAGACTAGACTATAGACTAGACTATAGACTAGACTATAGACTAGACTATAGACTAGGCTATAGACTAGACTATAGAGTAGACTATAGACTAGACTATAGACTAGACTATAGACTAGACTATAGACTAGACTGTAGACTAGACTGTAGACTAGACTATAGACTAGACTATAGACTAGAATATAGACTAAACTATAGACTAGACTATAGACTAAACTATAGACTAGACTAAAGAGTAGACTATAGACTAGTCTATAGACTAGACTATAGACTAGTCTATAGACTAGACTATAGACTAGACTATAGACTAGACTATAGACTAGACTATAGACTAGACTATAGACTAGACTATAGACTAGACTATAGACTAGACTATAGACTAGACTATAGACTAGACTATAGACTAGACTATAGATTAGACTATTCTTGCAAAAACTATGTGCCAACTAACTACCCATCACTGTTTAAATCGAAATATGTATTTTATTAAAACAATAAAATGTTATTAATGTAACAACTTATTTCTAATAACATTACTTTATCTTTGTTGTTGTTGGCTTTTTTTCGCACATTTTTTCGCCCTATTCTATTAAGCTTAATGCTTTTGCTTATTACATTCTTATTAATGATTTATTAAAATTTAAACAACCGAACATTTAAGAAATTTATAGAAAACCAAAGAAGAAGACAAATAACTAAAGGAACAAATGACAATAGTATTTGTTATTGTTCTACTACTTAAAGAGTAAATAATAACAACAACACCAATAACTGCAACAAGTGATGCTTTTGTTATTGTTCTTTTGCTTTAGTTGTCTTTGTAATTTCTTTAGTGTTCGGTTGTTTTGTGTTATTACTCCTGTTTAAATTAATCTAACGCGTTAATTAATTGTTTATATTAAAATATTTTTGTTGTATATTATTAAGAAAATATTAATTTATATTTGTACATAAAAATATTAAAGAAAAGTGTTTTTGAAATTAGTGAAAAAAGTGTTAGAAAATTTGCAAAACCGAAAAAAGTGTGATTTGCCAAATTTGTAGAAAACCAAAGAAGAAGACAAATAACTAAAGAAACAAATGACAATAGTATTGTTATTGTTGTTATTATAACTCTCCTACTAAAAAAAACAATAACAACAACTGCAACAAGTGATGCTTTCGTTCTTGTTCGTTTGCCTTAGTTTTCTTTAAATTTCTTAAGTATTCGGTTGTTTAATGTTAATATTCTCATTTAAATTAATCTAACGCGTTAATTAATTGTTTATATTAAAATATTTTTGTTGTATATTATTAAGAAAATGTTAATTTATATTTGTATATAAAAATATTAATGAAAAGTGTTTTTAAAATTAGTGAAAAAAGTGTTAGAAAATTTGCAAAACCAAAAAAAGCGTAATTTGCCAAATTTATTAATGTAATTGTTAAAATGCGATCGCTGTTTTTTGTTTCCATGGCCATTCGTAAGCAGAACAACAGTGGAGAGTTATGGACAGAAAG